CGAAAAATAGAAAAATACATCACAAAGGAATAAATTGCAAACATTTATCGGACAAATTTTTTCTCCAGAAAGGTCATTGAGTCCATAATGGAGGAACATAGTAAATAAATAGGCTATACTTGCTTAGAGACATATAGTTAACGTTAATGCCAAAAAACAACTAAAATGCTCTAATACATATTTTTGGTGGTAAAAGAGAAACAATTTATTCATTGCACTTGCTTTGTTGCACTTTGTTTTTCTTTAAAACAAATGTCCACGACACAAACTCAAATATTGTCATAAAAAATACTACAAGCAAATGTTAAGCAATAATTTTTATGGCATTGAATATTTCGTCACACTTTTGCTGTAAGCTCACTTATCTTAGATGCGAGTAGAAAASTTATTTTTACTTTTAGTAGCATAACGGTTATCAAAAAACGCATGGTTGCGGATTAAGTCGTCATAAATCACTTTCAGAATATGGAAGCACATTTATACCACTTTTTAGGAGAAGRCATATAAAAATAAAAGGTGGAGTATATGTATATACATATATAGCAACAGCAATGCAAGTAGTTGTAAATAACTGTTTGTTTAGAACAAACTCATGCGCAATTAAATTTTTGAGATTAAATAAAGGTTTATGAATGCGAAAGGGATGTCAAAASATTTGAGATAAAATTGTAAAACATTGGAATTGAACAGAGCGGAAATAAATATGTTTCGATCAAAGAATTTGGAAGATTTTTAAATTATTAATTTAAGAGGTTAGACTAAGAAATTATAAATTATCTAAATAATTAAATAATAATCCTTTGAAATTTTATGTCAAGAATCGCCCTATTTCAACAACCACAACGAGCTTAGTTTGGAGTGAATAATATAGTAGGATTTGAAAGTAAAGACAGAGGTAAACGTTATTAAAATAAATAAGAGTTTTGATTAAAAAAAAAAAAAATAAAAGTGGGCGCCCTTATTGAAAAGCCTGTTACTTTCCTATTATATTATTATGTAAGTTAAGTTAAGAATCGCCCTATTTCAACAACCACAACGAGCTTAGTTTGGAGTGAATAATATAGTAGGATTTGAAAGTAAAGACAGAGGTAAACGTTATTAAATCAAATAAAAGTTTTGATTAAAAAAAAATAAAAATAAAATAAGTGTGATCTCGTTRCTCTGAATTGATTTAAAAACTATAATATTGCTATTTTTAAGAAGTGCTTTTAACTTTGTAGTCCTATCTTTGTCTATTGCTATTGCTTGTGTTCGAAAAATTTAATCAAATTAATTAAATTTAATTAATACATACATATTCATGTTAAGAAATATGGAACACTATTTTATCATATTTGAAAAATTCTCGTTAGCGTACGATAAGAACCTTCTACTCAGCTAGTTGTATGATATTTTAATTTCCRTCAAACTAGTGGCATTGTATAAATTTTCTGGAGAATGAGAAGTTAAATATTATTTTGTAGGATGACCTTTATTACTATTGAAATATGGTTTACAGCAACAAAAAGTCATAGAAGCGTGGATTCCGTTTAAGAAAAATAAATGAAATTAATTCAAGTTTACAATTTTTTTTTTAGATTTTTGGCGAAATTGTTTTCATATTTTTGTTGACATCAGCAAGCAAAGGTTGCTAGAAATGTGTGTATCGGAAATGCACTTAAAGACGAAAGCTTGATTTAAGGAATTCTAAAATTTGGAATTTGTTAGGC